ACCTCAGGAAGACTAAAAACCGAAGTGTTACGAGAAACCAAAAAAGCTGCTGAGATTTGTTCTGGATCACTGTGCACAAACGTTCCACTTTTAAGAATATAATAACTCTGGACAAGCAGAAATGCATGGAAATAGACAAATGCCACCTAAAGCAGAATAAATCCTCATGGATCATTATTATGAGTAATTCACCAAAAMCAAGAGAAAGAAAGTATAAATATGCCTTAATTCCCTTAGTATTGGTTCTCATTGAAAATACCTAACTATTAGTGTTGATTTTGTTTGATGGAATCTATTTCTTTTTAATTAAAAGGATCAGATTCTTCGGTGGCAAGGGAACCCATGATGGAACTATGCAGTGTTCCCACTGACTGTTCCTCATGTCCTGGTGTTCCTGGAGGGCCACCAGGAAGACCACATGAGGAAATCTTTTCATGAGGATGTCATGCACAGAACACCTAAGTGTTTGTTTTAGTCAGCTTGTCCTTGCTGTCACCAAAATACCTGACAAAAACAACTTAGAGGAGGAAAAGTTTATTTGGCTCATGGTTTCAGAGGTTCAGTCYCTGGTTGGCCAGGTCCATCGCTCTGGGTCCAAGTTAAGGCACGGCACCATGGAATAAAGACATGGCAGGGAAAGCTGCTCCCTAGTGGTCCTGGAGGAAGCAGAGAGAGGGAGGGAAAAGCCAGGAGGATGAGTAGGAGAAATAAATAAAATAATCCCCAAGGGTAACTCCCAGCCAGCCGCCTTTCCAGCAGYGCTCTCCACCTGCCCACAGTTACCACCCAGTTTGTTCATTCAAATTGGTGAATGAGAAATAAAAGACCCTGAGTTGGGGAGAAATAGATGGAACAATTTTAATACCTCCAGTCTCGAGGGTAGCCTTCTCTCCACACCAAACCACTTTGACACACAGACATTGGGGATAAACTAACCACATTCTTTGAAGTTTACTCTACCAGTAGACCCTGAACTAGTGAAGAGAATGYATCCTATGAGGATAGTAGAATCAGAAATGGAATTGTTTCTTCTCATCTTAAAAGGAAAGTCTGTCTATTCTTACAGAGTAAGAGGTAGAAGAGGTAGATTTGAAAAAAGTATTGATCACTGTTAAAATTACTGTCCCCGTATGAGTTAGATTTCCAAAGGAGAAAACCAAATACAGCTCATGCCATCCACTACAATTTACTGCCTATTGCTCATTGCAATTATTCTTTATTGTTACTAASAAGTATTAATTGTACATATTAATGGGGTGCAGTGTGGAATTTCAACACATGCATACAATGTGCACTAATCAAGTCCAACCTCTCTTTACCCACCTTCCCTTCTTCCCTTCATTATAATTATTTTTAATAATATGATATTTTTTATTTTATCTTTCACCCATAAAAATCCATTTACTTCTATACAGCAGTTTCATCAAGTTCTAAGGTCAGTTTGCTTATTGGTCAGGTGAAAGTACCCTTGGATTCTAAATTATTACATTTTCTCTATAACCTGTTGAAGTCACTACAGGTAGTTTAGTGTTTGACCTCAAATAACACTGAAGGGTGCTTTTGTTAATAGGCTTTAGTTTAAGATTATTACAAAATATTCTGAATGATCTAAATTTGTTTGTAACTCACAATTCAATTCACCAYTTTAAAAATCCTCTAGTCTTATGAGTCACAGTGAAACCAGCAATCTGCTTTTCAACATTTGCAATAGCATAACATTGTGTTCCACAAGCCACACTGGTTTTAAAAGGTATATATGTGAAAGAAGCTGACTCAGAACATTTGACACGCTTCTCCAACACACATGCATATTTGTCTATTTCATCTCGTACCCAAATCACAGGTCATATGTATGAAAAAACACTGCAAAAACTTTTCTATGACAATAACTTCTGACAACTCAATAAAAGTTCTTTAGTACCATGTCTTGTTTTTTTTTAATAGTTCCATTGTGTAAATTATATAATATCTACAAASTAATTAGTACACAACTTCAGATTTTCAATGGCTTCACTCTGTACACCACACTAAAATATTTGGCAAAAAAAAAATACATTCACAGGTAAAACGTAAATAAAACTGCTAAAAATCTAATTATAATACAAAATATTAGGCTTGATTTTAAATGGTTTAGTTAGAAGAGTGATATTAAGTGAAGCTTGCTAAAATTAGCCAACTTGCATTACTAAAGTAACAACTTCTTTGTCCTCTTCATATGGAAAATATATTTTGAAAAACAGAATGATTTTGTTCTACCAAATCATAAGGAATGAAAGAATATTACTTTATCTGGAAATTTTAGACTGATTATTTTCAAAACTTAAATAATGCTCAGACTTAGCAGTTTGCCTTGATTCTCTGTAGTCCATGCTAGAAGCACAATCTCATGAACACACACACATTCTCTCTCTCCCTCTCCTTCTCTCTCTCTCTCTCTCTCTCTCTCTCTCTCTCTCTGCCCCCTAAAACTTTAAAATTATTTTTAAGCTCCACTAAAAACAAAAAGTGTAAGATTCTACATCAACCACAAGATGTCAGTCCATGGTAATCTTCACAAAGCTGTGAGATTACCAGAGGAAAGTGAATGATTACAAAAAAATATACATATAGCATTCAAACATGAACAGGCCTTGGTGCTCTAGCTATGAGTCAAGGATAATCACGGAAAARGCGGTTGAGCGTTTGTTTGCTTTTGCACTTTCTAATCAGACTAGTTCTGGGAATGTGGTACATCAAATTCCCAGATGTTGCAATTCGGGTCTCAGACACTACTGCGTCGGGTTCCAACTCAAAGGAATAAATCTGAAGTTCATGATCTCTTTTTCCAAGCCTTTAAATATTGATAACAACTTTGTTTTAGGAATGGGTTATTTGAATGTGGGAAGCTGCGTTGAATAGCGGAGGTAAAGAAAAGAAGGAGTAAAGGCSGTATTGGTTTTTTGTTTGTTTGTTTTTAGCTGAGGAGCAGGGTTTGCAAAGTTTAGGGTAAAAGAATGGGGCAATTCAGGGTGTGAGTCACTCTTAAATCYGGATTGGGATTCCTCAATTGTAAATAATAACCAGACCACAAAGAAACTTGTTGATTTTAAAATTAGCTAATTTGTGGATGGGTTTATAAGATTTAAAGCAATCCTTCTCAAAATCTGGGAATGCTTGGTACCATCTGAGAGCTGCAGAATCTCAGGCCCCTTCCCAGAACTACTGAATGGATTCCAGCAGCCGGTTTTTTTCTAGGCTTTCTCTAGAAAACCCGTGGTAACTTTACCAGTTTGGAAAACTTGGTGATTGTGATGCACCTCGAAGTCTGAGAACCGCTGCTCCAAAGGAYGCACGAATGTGCGTTGTTGGGGTARGRGTTAGGGAGGRGTGTRAGCGCCGGGAGAAGATCTCAAGCAGAGGGCCGAATTATTTGAAAGGAAACTGGGAGGGGCCAGGTTGCAACGTGGGGACCGGGGATCTGAGCAGGAGCCCCGCAGACACGGGCGCCTGCAGGCGGCGCTGGTCGCGCAGTTGACGAGGGGGCGGGGTCAGCCCGGGGCGAGCAGCTTAGGGAACTGGGCTCAGAGCCGCCGGGCCGTCACCTCCWGCACCCACGGCGGCCGGACTTGCCAGACTCACCAGACTCACCGTCGGGTCCCAAAGAAGAGCTGGTGAGTCCTTCGAATCGGCCTTGCTGGCCGCTTGCTCCCTGCGCCCGCGCGCCCCCCGCGAAGCCCGTCCCCAGCCCCGGGAGTGGTTAAGGGTCGCACGCCCGCCGCGGTCCGGGCGCAGTCGGCTGCTTACCTCGCTCCACCCCACCGCAGAGCACACCGCGCGAGTGTACCCGSGGCAGGGGTGGGAGCCGGGGACTCACTGGACGCCTGTTCACCGGATGGCTTAAGAAGTGAGTCCTCAGGTTGGGTTCTGATGGCAAGTTTTCCAACTTGGTAAAGTTCCCACCGGTTTGCACTGCACTGATGAATGGTTGGTACCTGATACTTAAAATTGGGCAACTTCGGCTTCAGGTTTCCTAGTAACAGCAAGTTTTTATTAGGTTCTTTGGTCGGACTCTTTCAGGATCTGGGTGTGGTTCAGATTCCCTTCAAAAYAGTCCATCAAGGTGTTTAAACATATCGCTCTAGTCAAATCTACTGAAGGGGGCTTATAGACATAGAATTTACATACACCTCCAAATTCCTTACTCTGTTCTTTTTGAAGAAAAAAAAAATCCTAATTGTATCCTGACTTTTAATAAATGGCCATTCATTTAGCATGAATGTTAAATAGGGGAGGGAGCGCAATGCTTTTTAAAAACAAAACAAAAAAAAAAACGATGCAGTGAAGAAAACTACCTTCCCTTCACATAGTTCAATGTCCTGAAGCAAGTGTGCACTTGAAAGGATAGAAGGTTGGAAATGCAAGGCAACCCACAATGTGTTCCAGTCTTTGGGTTTCTTGATATTCTAAATTCTTGGCCATAAACATGAGTTTGTTGGGCTGTGTCAATATTTAGCAGGAACACCAGGCCTGCTATCCTGGTACAGCAAAACAGAACAGTCTCATCAGAAATATGCTCCACTTTTTAAGGGGAAGAAAATTAGAGAATGTTGGGTCAAGTTCTGGAGTTCCTAACATCTTCACACTGCTGTTTCCTGTTAGGTTTGTTTGCTTGTTTTGTGAAAAGGAAAATTTGCTGTAGAACCTCAATTATATATTTAGTTAATGTCTGTTGGAAACCAATATGTTTTGACTGATAATTTATTTTCCTGGTTTCTGGGCACAAAGTGTACTGTGATCCCCACAGTCAACACTCTCTCACTCTCTCTCTCTCTCATGGCCATGGACTTTTTCTTGGCTTTGCTCTTCAGCGTGATCTCCCTCCAGGGCCACTCTGACTTTGCACTTGGAATCTCAAAGTGGCCCTTTGTCAGCAAACACTGCCAACTTGCTAGATGTCCCAGGACTCTGTTTCCCTTCCAATGCCACCATCTTTCCATAAAACTTTTTCTTTTTTTTAGGATACAGCACACTACCATGAAGTTACTTGTTGAAATGGTTGCCTTTTCTCCTGGATTTCAAGATGTTTAAGGGTAGAGGCTTTAGCTCATTTAACTTTATGTTCCCACTATCTGACATCATTCCTTCCACTATAGTTAATGACTATTGAATAAACATGTGTTTATATGTTATCTTTAACTCTGAAACTCCAAGTTAAAATAGCCTTTAAACATGGCAAATTATTCCTTGTATTTGATTATAGATGGTATTCTGCTTCTAGATACCATTCCAAATTACTCTATTTGCAATGTTGGTTAAATCACCAAATAAAGTGAAATAATACTTCCTGACAATAGAATGTACGCTTTTTCAGGATGGCACAAAGCCTTATTTCTCTTTTTCCTCTTTAGTATCTATATAGAATCATGTTGGTAAATAGTTGATAATTGGCATATGCTTTTACCCAGAATTCTTTCAAAAGCCAGTGATCAACACTCAACTCAAACCAACTCGAGCCAAAAAGGGAATGTATTGACTGTGTAGTTGAGATATTCAAGATCTAATCTCAGGGACTATAGTACTCAAAATATGCCACTAGGACTCTCCTGTTTCTTTTCTACTTCTCTATGTTGTCTTTCTCCTATTAAAATAAAGACATCTTCCTCCTTACAGCATGGGGGCAGGAAAGCATGGTAGTTCTGTAGCATCCCAACTTAGTGTATGCCCATTTCTATGGCCAAAGCCTGGGTGTTACTATAACTGACAACCTCCTGACACAATATTGGAGATAAAAAGGGCATATCTCCAAATAAAGAAAMTATTTTACATCAGGAAAAAAAATGGAAAGAGAATGTGCACAACCAAAACAACAATTACAAGTTATATATCCCTTATCTAATTTCCTTAGGATAAGAAATGTTTTTAATTTTTTGGAATATGTACATATATATAATGATATATCTTGGGGATAGGACCCAAGTCTAAATACAAAATTCATATGCACCTGTTTCATATGCACCTGTACACATAGCCCAAAGGTAATTTTATACAATGTTTTTAATGCACTGGTGATTTGACTGCAACCTGCAACAGGAAGTCTGATATGGAATTTTCCACTTGTAGCATGAGATCAGTGCTCAAGAAGTTTTGGATTTTCGGATTAGGGATCCTCAATCTGTATCCTCATCATGAATGTTCTGAAATTCCAAGATTAATAATATCAGGAAACTGTCCCAGGAGCTCCTCAACAAAGAAAACATTGGCATTATGTAAAAATGACTCCTTTTTATTCTTTGTAAAGATCTAACCCTTAAAAGTTGGAGAATGTTTTTAAGTATTTTAAAGTATTTCTAGAAATAACTTTGCACCTAATAAAGTTTTACAGATGTTCTATACGCACTAAGAACATACTAAAAATGTAGATGATCTAAAAACACTGGGAAACAGAATGTTTTCCATCAACCGTTGTATTATCTAATCTGTTTTTCATAGAGTATGAACTGAAGATGTATTTGTCTGGAAATAAATTTGGAACTAATGAAAACAGTGAGTAATATTACAACATCATGTTTGTCTTCCTTAAAAAGTGTTACACCAAGCCTGGATGAGGATCTGTGAAAGTGGCTATGGAAAATATTTCCTTATCGGGTAAAAAAAAAATTAAAAAATGGCAAAATATCTTCCAAAGGGTTGACTAGTTACTGCAGGCATGTCAATGATCGAACACAACTCAACACCTCCACTGGAAATATACTAGAAATTCCTGTCTTACCAACAAAGCCTGGCCCATTACTCTGGTGGGAAAAAGAAATGATGCTTTGAAAATAACAATTTTAGTCTTTTATTCCATTAATCAGGGCTTGCTTTACTAACAGTATCTGTTCTGGTCCTTGTATGAAACTCAGAAACATTTCCCCATAAAAATCAATTAATTTTTATGTCAGAAGTCCAGTGTCAATACTGAACGTTTATTAACATATGATTCTGCCAGGTTCAGTGGCCCACACCTGTAATCCCAGTGGCTCCGGAGGCTGAGGCAGGAGGATCTCAAGTTCAAAGCCAGCCTCGGCAACAGCAAGGTRCTAAGCAACTCAGTGAGACCATGTCTCTCAATAAAATACAAAAAAGCGCTGGGGATGTGGCTCAGTGGTTGAGTGCCCCTGAGTTCAATCCCCAGTACTGCCCTCCCCAAAACTGCACATAATCCTGAAGTATAATTTTATATCATCTACCTCCATCTCTCATTGATAACAGTGTTATTCTAAAAAATAAATGCATTTCTAATTTTGTTGACCCTTGAGGAGAGTTGGCTTTCCTCTCAATGAGAACCTGGAATTAAACTTCTAAAGGTAAAAGGTTGGGACACTTGGTATTCCATGTAGACATTGGCAGTTCCTGCCCAAAAACTAATTACTACTTACTGAAGAACAGTGATTACTCCTGACATGAATGCACTAGTCTGAGACTCTTCAAATCTGTAAATCAGTCACTTTCTGAACTGTAATTGAAAGTTATTTGCTTTTCTAATATTTAAGTGAGTAAATCCTCCATATCATCCCATCAAACATTAACATCATAAATACAATAGACTTGAAAAGATTACTTATTTTTTATTTTTCTAGGTGGCTGAAGCCATACTATTTTCTAGACTTCATGGACAGGAGAAAAGATACCACAAACCAAGAACTTTGGAAAACGAAGCCTAGGAAAAATCTAGAAGATGATGATTTTTTGGTAAAATAATAAAAATAGGGTTTAATAATTAAAATCTTTAAACCTAATTCAAATGCCATTCTGTATCTCCTGGTGTTGTGAAAGTGATTTTCATCCTAGTCTGCTGATATGGGCACYGGGTTCCTGTCACTAATACTGTGATGGTAACGGGCAGTGTGGTACATATGAGAGAAATAGTACCTTGACTGATATTCGGGGACTGAGCTGAATAACCTTCAAGAAGTCACTGAAAATTTTGGGCATTGGTTTATCTATAAAGTGAAAAGGTTAGAGCCAGATATGGTAGTACATACCTACCTGTAAATCCCAGTAATTCCGAGGCTGAGGCAGGAGGATTGCAAGTTCAAATCCAGCCTCAGCAACTTAGTAAGACCCTAAGCAATTTAACAAGACCCTGTCTCAAAATAAAAAATAAAAAGGGCTGGGGTTGTTGCTCAGTGGTTCAGCACCCCTGGTTTCATTCCTTGATACCAAAACAAAAAAGTGAAAGAAAGAGTTGAATGAGATAATCCCTAAGTTCCTTCCAATTCTAACAGTCTGTAAAAGAAACATTAAAAAAAAAATTTAAGTAGAATGCCATATAACATAATTTTGTAAGAAAACATTTTTCTCACAGACACTGTGGCAGCTTACTAAGARATCACCAAGTAAATTGATGATTCATTGTTCAACCAAAAAAAATCACTTTTGGATAAGAATCCCTTGTCCCACTTTTGGTCAACCACAGGATTAAATGTTTCTTATTATAATATTTGGCTTAAAAAGAGGCAGAAAATTTTAGTTCCAAACTCTTACCTTTCTGAATTGTTTCAAGTATAGTTTTTAACAGAAATTATTTATCTTATCTTAATCACATAAAATGAAAAAAATAATTAAGAAAATATAAACACATACCCTATAAAAGTAACTGTGTACGTAAAACAAAATCATTTCCCTTTTCAAGTTGTTTTCCTTGCTGTTCCATAATTCTTCACTCTTAACCAGAGAATTGATCTCAGTTAATTATACTTAGTCTGTATTAACATGAAGAAATGACAGAAGCTATAGCCTTTCTAGATRGAGTAATTAGAATAAGCATTGGATGTAACAGTGATTTATTACTCAAAGTAAAATTCAAATGGTAAAAGGGATCATTTTTTAAACACTGAAAATTATAGAGAACCATGTGATTTAGAGTTACTYTGCATAAAATGAAATGAACAAGATAATCACTAACATCATTTAAAGCATTAAAATGTTCTGGTTCCATATAGAGAGCTATAAAAGTGAATAATAGCATTGAGTGAGAAGCAAATTTATTCATAATAATAGCACAATATGAAACACTGATATTAAATCTCATTTTGAGCTTTTTAAAATTTTTCTGTGTATCAGATGGAGAAATGACAAATTATTCAATATAATCTTCTTTTGAATTGTTGACTACCTAGAAATTCAACTGGATCAAGACTAACTTTTTCAGGAAATACATCATCTCTGTGGGATTTAACTAGTTATATATAGCCTTTGTTTTACCTTCTGATAGTATATATGTCTATCAATACTTAAACAAATGAGTTTTTTTTAAAAAATAAACTATATAAAGCAAGACTACATGATGGAAATTATGGATTTTTATCCATAATTTATCCAGAATAGTCATGACCATATTATTCCTGATCCTTCATGTTTTGAATTAATGAATAATTCGCTCTTCAGTGCATTACCAAGAGTTACCTAGGAACCAATAAAATATTTGCAAAACAAACACAACTATTACAATTTATAAGTTTATTATTTTACCAGAGATTATTGTGATTTTAAAAACCTTTTTTCAATTTTGACTTCTCTGTTGCCATATTCCATTATTTCACATCTTCAAAATAGACACAAGGGCCTATGCTTTTGTGGAGGTATTGGAAGTATGTGTTTCTTTTTTCTTAAAAACAAGTGAATAACAGAAATGAATGGAGAATTTCAAAGTAGCCAAGTAGACCTTTAGTCAGTTACATAGACTATGCTATCTTTATCTGACCAATATCCAAAGCAAGATTCTCAATGCCCTTGTTCACGGAGAAGCACAATGACTGGACCATAATTAATTAGATTAAGGAAAATTTAACTGTTTTGTTCAATTTTAAGATATATCTTTTCTCTTTTTTTGTAGACTAAGGACACTGGAGAGACCAGCATGCTAAAAAGACCTGTGCTTTTGCATTTGCAGCAAACAGCCCATGTTGATGAATTTGATTGCCCCTCAGAACTYCAGCACAAACAGGAACTCTTTCCAAAATGGCGTCTGCCAATTAAAATAGCTGCTATTATATCATCTCTGACCTTTCTTTACACTCTCCTGAGGGAAATAATTCATCCTYTAGTTACTGACCATCAACAGTATTTTTATAGGATTCCAATCCTGGTCATTAACAAAGTCTTGCCAGTGGTTTCCATCACCCTCTTGGCATTGGTTTATTTGCCAGGTGTGATAGCAGCAATTGTACAACTTCGCAATGGAACAAAGTATAAGAAGTTCCCACCTTGGCTAGATAGGTGGATGTTAACAAGAAAGCAGTTTGGGCTTCTCAGTTTCTTTTTTGCTGTTCTACATGCAATTTATAGTCTGTCTTATCCAATGAGGCGATCCTACAGATACAAGTTGCTAAAATGGGCATACCAACAGGTAGGATAAAGATGTTGGCAGTAKTACTAAACTAAAAAGTCTAAGTCAACTAACAAATTAATCTCTTCTCATTGTAATATCAAAACCCCAAGCCCCCATTGAAACCCTGGATTGAGAAAGTTATCTAATTTTTTAAAATTTTATTATAGTCACATTAGGGCTTAGTTGTATAGTTTTATATTAAGAAATGTTCTTTAAGCTGAAAATAAAGTACAACTTTAACAATATTAAAAAAATATTTTGTTGCCAGGAAGGGTGGTGCATGCCTGTAATCCCAACAACTCAGGATGCTGAGGCAGGAGGATCACAAATTCAAGGCCAGCCTCAGCAATTTTGTGAGGCCCTAAGCAATTTAGTGAGACCCTGTCTCAAAATAAAAAATTTTAAAAAGGGCCAGGATGTGGCTTAGTGGTTAAGGGCCTCTGGCATCTGTTCTCAATCCCTAGTAATAAATAATAAATATATATATGTATGGATATATATATATATATATACACACACACACACATATATATATACTAAATATACATATATATTTATATATATATAAATATATGTATCAAATAATATATAATATACATTAATGTGTGTATGTGTTTATTTATTTATTTATTTAATGGACAGGGCCACATTTCAATCCTCTAACACCCTCACAAGACTACTTTTTAATGCTGATTGTTCTTCTGTTTGCAATACCACATTACATTGACTACAATTCCATATAAGTAGACCACTAAATAATTATTAGATAATTAAAATGTATTATATAAATATTATATTAATATAAAGAAAGAAAGCTCTGAATTACTCTTAAAGGAATGTAAAAAAAATACAAAGTTACAAATTGTGTAGGCTCATTTTAGACAAAGCATGTATAAGAGATTCACAGGTGAGAAATGAGTGTGGTTTCCGTATTTTCTTTCCTCTTTTACCTTCTGGTAGGTCCAACAAAATAAAGAAGATGCCTGGATTGAGCACGATGTTTGGAGAATGGAGATTTATGTATCTCTGGGAATTGTGGGACTTGCAATACTGACTTTGTTGGCTGTGACATCTATTCCATCTGTGAGCGACTCTTTGACATGGAGAGAATTCCGTTACATTCAGGTAAATGATTTAAAGTAACTCTAGTCCCTCAGAGAGGCCAATTTTTTGTGCTTCTAATATTAAATATTTGACCGTAGCCCATAAAGAATAACAAATGCCTTCCAATATAAATATCCCACACTTGTTCCAGTTAATAATGTGTTCTCTTGTTTTTTCTCTATTGCTTCTAAATAGGATGCATTTTATAGACATAAATAAAAGGCATCACTAAAAGAAAAATATCCTAACATTTGAAACTTGTTATATTTGCTACCCACCTAATAACTATAATGTGATATTCTAGGAATATCCTTGGTTAATAGTTCCTACAAATTAAAAAATTATTTTACCCATCCCCTGACTTGAGTCATGCGTTTTAAATTGCACAGTTTTATACTATCTAGGGTGAAAAATCTCTCATTAAAAATAAAGACTTTTATTAACCAAAGGTATTCTAATATCTCATTTTAAGACCTGCTTTTCCCCAAGTTACATTTTAGATAGTTTACTCCTTTGAAGTTTCTAAATACTCCTGGGACTCAAAAACTATCTTAGATTTACTTAAATTTATCTCCTAGTGGAAGATTACACTTAAGAAGATCATTGTGCCAGACTTCAGAAGGGGGCCCATATCTGTAAAATTCAAAGGACTAAATTTAATTCCATCATGAGCACTGCCAAAATTGTTTTAATTACATAGCCTTAACTTTCATGGGTGGACATCTTTTGAAATTTCCACAAAGTCAGACATTCCCCACTGTCCTTTCTACATATCTGCACATCATATCCAACAAACACATCTAATTAAGCTGGGAAATATCTCTGCATCTGAATTATCCCAATGTGATTTAGAGATGATACCRCATTCTCTAAGCAAAGTGTTTTTCAAGTGTGTATGTTCAGCCTGGAAGCCATTGGAGTTCTCTGTTYCTCAGGAAATGTTTGCCTGCCACACATGAGCTGAGYATAATTTTTCAGATTTAATTAGAGATTCAAACACTGCATCTTAGCAACTGAGTTCATTCCACTGTAGGTACAATACCCAGATTATAATAAGTATACTGTACACATTTGGTAAGATTAATCTGCAACCAAATATGTGTATTTTTCAATGACTAATCTAGTAACTTTTCATTCAGAGTTACACTATGATTTACCTAAGAGATTCATATCTGAAAATATAAATTTAACTACTTAATTGTATTTATTGGGGTTCAAGAGTACAGTAATTGTGAGTTAGATTCATTCTGGCAGACTCATGACCATTTCCARTAAAGTGAATAGAAATCAAAAGTCACCTAGAAGAGCTATTATGAGAATGYCATAAAATTATATACATGAGCAACTATTTATAAGTACCTAATCTGTATGATGTTAGAGTATTCCAAAGAAAGCTCAAATTTTTCTTTACATCACTAGATTTTGCTGAAACATTGAAATAATTACAAGTATTTTCCCATTTCATCTGAATGTTTAATTTTTTTGAAAAACATATTCATTCACTTTAGTATTCATTTACCAAAATCAGAGTGAATCACATTAGTTGTGTTCACAGTTTAATAAGATCATTGAAGTCAAGCTGATATTTGCAGTAATATTTGGCCAACCTACCTTGATTGAATACCTGAAATGTGCACTTCATGTTGACTTTGCAGTGACCCTTGTGATAAATAAGAGTCTTTAGTTTAAGCAAATGCATAAGACAAAGCATGATAAAATAAATATCATAAAAGAGATGAACAAAATGGCAGAGAAAGAAAAGATAGAAGTATTGATCACCTGAGACTGAAAGGAAGACTGTGAATTTTCTCAGTTTAGCCTGGAGATGAGAACATTACCCAAAAAGTGAGGTGATAAGGGGGAATATGTAAAATGCGTAGAAATATGTGAATGAACATTGTTGAGAAATGTGTTAGGAAAACACTAATAAACAAATGGAAGGTTTCCCAAGCAACAGAACAGATTCAGATGAAATAGGATGGAACAAACTCTTATTGAACCAAAATTCACTAAGGTAATTTTGTTTTTCTTTTACAGAGCAAACTAGGAATTGTTTCACTTCTACTTGGTACAATACATGCATTGATTTTTGCCTGGAATAAATGGGTAGATATAAAACAATTTGTATGGTATACACCTCCAACTTTTATGATAGCTGTTTTTCTCCCAATCGTTGTCCTGATATGTAAAACTGTACTATTCCTGCCATGCTTAAGGAAGAAGATACTGAAAATTAGACGTGGTTGGGAAGACGTCACCAAAATTAACAAAACTGAGATGTCTTCTCAGTTGTAGAATTACTATTTACACACATTTTTGTTCAATGTTAACATGTTTTATCATAAACATTTCAAATTTGTATTTGTTAATAAAATGACCACTTGAGGATCCCAGTTTCTCTCTCTGTTTATGGGTGATGAGTTTGAAATTTGTGTWTTTTCTTTCACATTTGATTCAAAGCAAAACAACATTTTTAATACTGATCTTTAGCATATTTTCTGTTGATAAAACTAAGCATAACAAAAACAATCACATCTAATTTGTCAGAGTATATAACACTATAAGTGATGAAAGGCCTTAAAATACCAGTCTTTTATACCTACCAAACATGTATCATAAGTAATGAAAAATATGCCATCTGAATCTACAAGTATATTCAGCACTTATGATTATTGGTTTTTTTATTCTCTAWAAAAATTTATTGTGTTTACTATTATTATTTTAATTGTACATGTTTGGGTACAGTGTGATACTGCACCATATCACACAGTATATGATGATCAAAGCAGGGTAGTTAGCAATTCCATCTCCTTAAATTTAAAAATTGTTTATTAACACATAATTGTTGCACATATTTATGAGGTACGGTATGACTATTTCCACAGAACTTTCTATYCTAACCAGGTTTATTCCTGAAACACTCATCTCAAAATCAACACAGACTGTATCTACACTAACAGACACAGTAACATTAGATGCAAATCCACAGCAGTTGCRTGCCTGCACTCTCACCTGCATGGCCAGGTGCCTGCACCTGTAGTGCTGGGAATGGGAAATCAAGTTCCAGCCTTCCTGGAATCACAAAGGAAGGAATGACTCTTTGTTTAGAATGGTAAAGTTGGAAAGGTATGATGTTGATCCAGAAAACAAGGAACTATTTGAGCTGCATATTAAAATATAAGTAGGAGTCCTGCCAACAGAATGGGAGGACTGGTATGTCATGACCTGTTGAAAGGTCTAGTTCAAATCTTCTGGAACAGAATCTGTGGACAAAACTCCAGATAAACTATAGGCGAAGACTGGATGGATCACCAAGGTCCGTTGCATGAAATGAAACTGTGTTTGGACTTTGTCCTTCCAGGAATGGGGAAGCCACTAAAAACTTGAAAAGGGCTTAACGTCATTAGTTGCACTTCAGAAAGATCACTATATACCATAGAGATGAATCTGATGGTGAGAGGCAAAGGATAAAGGAAGGTTGGAAAGCCTTAAAGATACTTTTTTTTTAAAGAGAGAGAGAGAATTTTTAATATTTATTTTTTAGTTCTCGGCGGACACAACATCTTTGTTGGTATGTGGTGCTGAGGATCGAACCCGGGCTGCACGCATGCCAGGCGAGCGCGCTACCGCTTGAGCCACATCCCCAACCTAGCCTTAAAGATATTTAAGAAGACAGTTGCAATATCCTAGGACACAGACAACAAATTTGCAAATGAAGGTCATTGCATGGAAGTTACGAAGAAAAGAGGAGAAATAATGAATATCGAGGACAGAATTTCCAGAAATTTATGACCAACAGAATATGAGTACAGAGGGAAAAGAAAGCTTTTAGGATGGGACATCTTGGATTCCTTCCACCTGGATGACTTGAAGGACAATGCTATTAAGCAGAATAGAAAGTTCTATAGAAGGAACAGATTTTTTTTTTTAACCAAAACAAAACCAGAAAGTGTAGTCTATACGTTGTAAGTTGTTTACAATAATCTCAGTTGCTAAGGGATGCAGTGCGTTGTTTTAGTTTCAAGGCACACACATGTAGTTATGAAAAGCATAAGTTTGGGCAGAGAGAAGGGAAAGGAAGGTATCTCCCTGCCTCTTTGAAGAGGATTGTTTTCATTTTTTGTGGAACATGGGATGGAGACCACATGTGCTAGGTGCGCTATCACTGAGCTGCATCCCTAGTCCTATTCGTTTTTTTAGTTTAAGACAGGGTATTACTAAATTGCCCAGGCTAGCCTGGAACTTGTGATCCTTCTGCTTAGCTGGAATTACAGGTGTGCGTCACCGCACCTGACTAAAAAGTTAATTTTTAAATAAAGCTTTTGATGTGGTTAACACAGTGGTGGAGGATCGTCACACCAGTTCTCCCTGGAGCAGAAGGAACAGCCCCTGGATCCTCGCCGACCTRAGCCCAGTGCCTTCTTCCTTCTCCAAGCAGAGCTGCTTTTCCTGCTCACAGTGATCTACCTGGGCTCTATTTCCTTTAAACATTTGTTCAMCAAGGACTTGGGTTTTTAAAAACTGTTGAAATATGATGTCTTTAGTATTTTAATAGTGAGTTACATTTAATGTCTTATGACAATAAAAAAGAAGTATATGATTCTGATGTCATTTTCAGGCCATAGTTTATGTGTCTGTGGAAGCATGTAAGAAATTATGGCCTATTATTGCAAAAKCTGTAAAATTAAACATACAAATTCATAATAAAATTATGTAATTTTCTTTATTATCACTATGTCTAGAATTTTCTTCCAAGAAAATAAACAAGATGTAATAGCTTTTCTTTTTTTTTTCTAAAAGCAGTCTTCAAAGTAAAGGTGTTAGAAATTTTCCAGTGTGGATTTAGTGCTGTTTTATTCAATGAATTAGAAGTCCTCTTTCTGTGTGCCAGTTTTTTTTTTTCAGGTGTTTTCAAGAGCCCTTTGAAGAGGTCACAGATTATTCCACCTTTTATTTTTTTTAAATAATCCTGCACTTGAATAAATTAATAAGTCACTCACTGGTGACCACTGTACATGACCTGAAGCTAAAGTCCAATACCTTCTTCTGGACCAATCGAACTTCTTTAGCTGACTGGGGGTTTTCAGTCCTCTCGTGCTAGTAGTATGTCACATTACCATCATTTCTCAYCGATGCTCATTTTAACTGTGCCAAGAACAAGTTAACAGTTCCTGCAGCTATAAAATTACTGAATTGGAAGAGAATGATGAGGTCACCTGAATTTTCTAATCCCTTGCCTGGAGGCATGACCCCACTAAAAAACGAGGCTTCCCTCAGCAAAATCTTTGTATTTCTGAACAGCATGGAATAGAGAGAAGAGGGAAAATGAACAAAGGCAGCAAAGTTGTAATGGTAAGGAACCTGTTGATCTTAGAACCAAGACTCTCACCTGTACCTCAGCTGGACATGAATGACTAAGAGTGAAAGAACTGGGAGCTAAGCCCAGGGGTACTGATGATCAAGCCCAGGGGATTGGTGCCTGCTGAACACATGACCATAGGAAATGAATTCAACCCACATCTTATAAATCAAAATTGTACCTATTACAAATGGATTTGCACAGTGAAATTAAACAGCATGAGAACTCAAGGGGTGGGTTTATTTTTATTGAATAGGAAAAAAAAAAACCTCTTGATCAAAATCTCTTAACAAAAGCCTATTATGTGTGTCATAGAGGTCAAAGTTCATTGGGCTGCTGGACCAGGAGCTCTGTCTTCTTGTTACTTCTTCCACCCTGTTCACAAGCCCTTGTAACAATGTGGGCTCTACATTCCCCGATTTTGGCAACTAGGATAACAGCTGGGAACCAAAGGTGCTAAATAGTCATTCTAATTTCACAGAGTAGCCAGCTGTGGGGTCAGATGGGKTTTGCAGAGAGGTGCTATAATTTCAAAAGAACCAGTGCTTCAGCCACTCGCCACTGAAACCACCAACATGTATGGAGGAGGACAGAGGGAAGAAGGAAGGTCTCCTTGGGGAAGTATGGAATGGTCCAGGAGAAACCATGCTCTTGTCTAACCTCCCTAACCTGGGAGGGAGGGAGGYACAGGTTAAACTCCTCCTCACTTACAGTCACCCACACTAAAGAAGATGAATTTGACCAGGTTTATACACATTTACCTTTTTGTCCACACTTCTTTCCTCCTCTCCAAGCTTCCATTTGTTTTCTTTTTCTCACCACCTGGAAAAGTTTTTTTTTTTTTTTTTTTTTTTTTTAAATGTTGATATACTTTCTGTGTTCTATAATGGTTGTATGCTGTAAGAAAAAAAAATGGGGATTAAAATTGTATTTATTTCATCTTCACAATTGAAAATTACAGCTTAATTGTTGGCAATTGTTTTCTTTCAGACCTGTAGAAAGTCCCACTGTTTTTGATGAAAAAAAAAAAAAAAATCTGAACAGCTTTAGCCCTCCCTGTTCCATTGCACCAGTCTTGTCAAGATCATCAAGAGATCATCTCAGTCCTCATCTTATTTGCTTACCCAGTAACATCTGACTAGTATTAGGACTCTTTACTGAAACATATTGTTTACTTGGCTTCTGGGAAACCATGCTCTTTGCAGATCTTGTTTCCTTTGCAGGCTCCTCTTCTAGTTCCCATCATCTCATTGTTAGCAAGGGTAACTCAACTTCCTCCTCTTCTTCACCAACACCCACAACATAGCTGATTTCCTTGGGTTCCCGGGCCTTAAATATAAAACATGAAAAGTATGTTAATGAGTTCCAGATTTGTATGCCTAGCCTTTACCTGATCTCTAGGCCTGTGATATCTAACTGCCTTCTGATAACCCCTCTTGAAAATGTGAAAAACATCTCAAATGCAAAATTTTAAATCTAAAATCTTAATTTCCTTCCCWTTCTCACCCATTTACTCCAGACAGACTCCAAGGTTTTTCTTTAACACTGCTCTTTACCTCATATCCATATTCATTTATCTTTAAATTCTATTGGCTGCACCAGCAGAATACATTCAGCTTCCAACTGCATCTCATCACTGAATTTTCTTGGTCCAGGCTGCTGTAATCCCTTTCCTACGATTCCTGCAGTAAATGTCCCAACTGGTCTGTCTACCTGCTTCCACTCTTGCTCTCAGCCCCTTATACCACCACCAGAATATTTTTCCACCCAGCAAGCAGTGTGATTCTTCAAAAACATAAAGGCTGTCATTCCATTCCTCTGAACAATCCCCTCTAATGCTTTCCCATACAATTTAAGATAAAACACAAACTCTTTACCCTGACCTGAAAATTCCTAAAATACCTGGACCCTGCCCACTTTTCTGAATCCATCTCTTATGCGCTTTACCTCACTCAGCCACTCCCATTACACTAGTCTTCTTGCTTTTGCTCAAGCACAGACTCATTCCAGCTGAGGGC